CCTAAACACCAAGTGAAACAATTTATTGTAGTTCTTTTGTCTTGCCCTCTTCTACACTATATGTTTCAGCTGCAAACGGCCATCATCAGGTGTATACACTTATGTAGCTGTGAAACATGTAGTGTAGAAGAGGGCAAGACAAAAGAACTACAATAAATTGTTGCACTTTGGACGGTGTTTATGTCATATAGCTTCAGTTTTTATCAACAGCTCAAGATGAAATGTAATTTCTCAGCCACATCAAATATTAGACTCCCCTCCATTCCTTTCCTGGTGCCAAAATACATGTCATTTCTGTTCATAATGCTAGTATTACTCCAATGTCAAAAGTGCATCAACACAATACTGCATTCATAAATCAGCCAAAATTCTCTTTATGCTACTAGACGGAGATGAATGGCCTTTACAAATACAAATGCAATACAAAGATGCTAAAAACGAGATCAGCATGAATCACAACTGATACCAAAAACAGCATCTGAATTGCACTGAAGCTGTTAAGCATGAGCTAGCCTTATTACTGCTGCTCTCATCTGACTACAGCATTTATTGGCAGAAAGTGTGCATCTTGTTTGGCACAATTACCATATTTCAATACGTGGAAAGCATATCATACTTGATATAAACCTCCAAGCAATGCTTAACTACTACTATCTGGAAATACAGATATCTTGGAGTCATGTTACTTCCAAGGAAACCTAGTTTTTCATAAACTGTTCATACCTGCGGAATTTTTAACAAAGAACAAACTATTACACTTTACTGTTTTGTTCTCTCCCTTTCACCTGCAGACCTGTAAACAGTATTGTTACAAAAATCATCAGGAGGAATTTAAGAATATTAACATTCATATCAGGCCATAAATTTATTATTATTATTGTTGTAATTTTTACACAGAACACATCTTGTATATTCTCTTACCTAGTATAACAACAATACAGTAACCGTTGCAGAAATTACAGATTACAAAAATTAGGTGCGATGCTGGTTTGGCAGAATAGAAAAGTACAGAATTTATTTGCATTCTATACAAATTTCATAGGTGTAAGCCAAGGATATAGAATAACCAATAAAATAAATTCTTGTTTCCAATAAAAACATAAATATAAATATGGATACAGACATCTTACACAATAGAGTATTATACCTATGTACATGTAATCCAGGTTACATGTGAGATCATGAAATGTTACTTAATTTTAATCTGCTCTTCCGATATGGACAAGATTTCAATCACCAGAATCCACCGTAATTCAATTTTTTTTCTGGCCAACTGAGAGTTGGGGAGAAGCAAAGCAGAGTACTGTGCTGAAAGGACTGAAGGAACTCAAAAGAGAAGTGGGAATCTGGCCCAGCCAGGCAACCTCCTCCGTTGATCTACTGCGGCTTACATTCTTTAGCAGTGTCACTGTTCATAAGTCTAGCTTGTTTCTTGCAATTATGATAAAAAAAAATTGATTCTATATTTTTATAACCAGAGACTTACCCTCATGTTCAGCTAATACATCTGTCACTGGATCTATATAAATTCTATCATTTCTATGACTGTCTATAAAAATATTATTGGTCACAATATTGCGGTAATTTTGAATTATTGTGGGGAAAACAACTACTGACATACGATTAAAAGATTTTATTTGTTAGTTGAGATAGTCTGTGGTAAATTTCAGTATATGATAGGACATTTATGTAGAGAATTCAGTTTCCATTTGCACAGCATTTCATGTCCCCATCAATTACAGTGATTATTTATATTTGATGATTACACTTTGGATTCATTCTGACAAAGTTACTCACTCTTCCTTTTATCAGCTTTTGTTTACAGTAACTAGCTGATAAGAGTATAACTGTTCAGATTAACCTGTGTGATCTCTTGTGCTTTCCTGTTGATATAGATAGAAGCACTCACGCCCTTAAATCCACAAGTGTTTCTTCCAATGCAAACAAGAAGTTGAAACTATGAAGAAACATACCTCATAAAATCTTGCAAATATATGGCAATAAAATTACTGACTGCTGATGTGAAAGAGAAAAAAGAAAATGTGACTGGGGAGAAAAGTATGACCATTATGAAATTTTAAAATTATTTTCTGTTGCTGTGAAAGCTTCTAGATGTCTGCTTACAGCAAATTATTGATAGCATACAATATATTACAATTAATCTGTGACTATGGTCAACAGCAAGAATAAATCCTAATTTTTTAACTATTAACACTCACAGTGTTAATTCAGGGGGGACTGGCCAGTCATCTGAATCACTGATTATTATTCTCATTAAAAAAAATGCATATGAACATCTCTCAGGAAGTCTCGGTAATCATTCGGCGCATATGCTTTTGTTTCTTGTCTATTAAGAGTCCACTGATCCAAGTTTACTCACTATTTTGTGAATTGTTTGACTGCTGGGAACTTTTTCACCACAAAATTTATGTCAACATTTTCACCACCACTTTCTAGCAGATCTGTATTTCACATAGGTGCCACAATGAAATAAACAATGCTCCATGGCGTACCACACTGCTCAGTAAAATGCAGTAAATGCTAAAATGCACGCGTTTCACGAATTACACACTATTTACACAGAACAACATAACAACACCCCACCACCTACCCCCACAACATCAAAATGAAGACAGCACGCACGCACGCGCGCGCGCACGCACACATATCCAGCAGTACAACGCACACAGTCACAAGAGGACACAACACAGAGCACCGTGAATATTAAACATTATAAAACCACACGTAACAGACAGAAGTCAGAACGTGGTATTAATGAATAACAATTTCACGTTGCAGATATACACATGAATGTAGGAAGAGTGCTCCCATAGAGCAGGACTGGCGTGACTCGCATATTTGAGATACGACATATGGATGACGAATCCTGAAAGGTTTTAGTATTTAGAATTGTTGTTATACATGACGAATACGCATTTTAGTCATTTTATGATGGAGACGTGATGGCATGCAGTGCAGTAGTTTGATGTGGATAGACATACCTGAAGATGGCACATTAGTGCTGAAACATGTAGTGTAAAAGTGAAGAGAAATGTGAAATTGTGTGCACTGTAAGACGGTTAGCAAAAATACACATCATGGACTGAAACTAATGCTAATCACTCAAAAGGAGAAGAAAGAGACGAAGAGAGAAAACATGTCTCTTGAGACAACAGATAACATATGTTTACAACAACCAGTTTAATTCAATTTGTACAAGCAACATATTCCACTGCCTCTCATATCACACATTTGAATAAACATGAACATAAATACAGAACTAATATATAAGCAATGAGATATAATGACCCTGGATACCATAAATATGAGTTCTCAGCCAGGATAGCTGTAATATGCTAACGCAACGTTTATCAACCTGTGGTCCAGGGACCACCTGTGGTCTGTGATGATTGGAAAGGAGGTCCGCAAGCAGACTTAAATTAAATTAAAAATTATCCAAACAAAACAAATAAAAATTAAATAAGCAAGTAAAAATTGCTGAAATAAAATGGATACAGAAAAAAAACAAGCTTTCTAATTCACATGAACATTTCAATGACCAGAAAAGAATCAGGTATTTCCAGGATATAAGGGTGTGACTGCATTGTCACTAGCTTCAGAGCTGGGACCGCGCTGATAATTAGTAGCTGCAGAAAGACGGGTAATAAAAGAGGGGTGCAGTGAACAACATTCTGATTTTATTGCTCCTGCTTTCCTTTACTGTTTTGTTAGATTTGAAGTAAATATGTGTTATCCATATTTCAACAAACTGCTTGTTGTCTATTGTTATTTATTACTGAAAGTTTTCCTACTTCAATGAATGCTCAGTATATCTTCATAAGTGCTAAGTGATAGTTGGACAAAGTGTGTTGTGAGTTAACTCCAGTTTTTATATACAGGGCCTCTACAAAAGGTGTGACACATTTTGATCTTAAATATTTCGGGAAATAACGAAGATAGAAATAAACCTTTAGCAATGATGGAAAGCTAAACTCAAAAAGTTTATTTTCTTCTTTACAGGTCACGAACGTGTTCATAGCTATCAGTGCAGTGTTCATTGTTGAGAAAATGGCGGAAACATTTTTAATAATGGAAAAGCGGCTTAGAACAGGGACTTTGAAAAGAAAAGCAAACAAAACAGGTGATGCTAACCCTAATCGTGATACATGTGTTGTAATGGTGAGTAAATGTGATACTATTAAGTCGAAAAAACAAGCAGTTCAAACAAAAATACAGTAGGAAATATGACAGTTCATATTTGGAATTCAGGTTCACTTGGTGTGACATAAAGAAGCAATCGAAGAGGATTGTGCTGATAAAAGAAAAAAGTTTGGGATATTGAGGCATGACTACAGATCAGTCCTCGAAAATCGTTAAGACGCTTAGCACAGGAAACCGGTGTTCCGCTAGGATCTGCTTTCACAGTCACAAAATTAATCAAATTTCACTCGTATAAAATAGCAGTTGTGCATGAGCTGAAACAACCAGATTATGCAGCAAGAATTCGTTTTTGCAACTGGCTGCTGCAAAATGTGCACAATGGAGTCATGGATCCACAGCTTCTGTTCATGACTGATGAAGCGTGTTTTCACGTTTGTGGCCATGCCAATGCACAAAATGTAAGAATATGGAGCAATGAAAATCCTCACACTATACAGCAAGTGCCATTACACAGTAAAATGGTGGGGGTGTGTTGTGCTGTACGTCCACGGCGAATCACTGGTCCCTTTAATTTTCCACAAAACTGTGAACGCTGACCGCTATGTTAATGACATAATGAATCCCTTCTTCAATCAACTGACTACTGAAGAAAGACAATATGGGTATTTTCAGCAAGACAACATTACAGCACATACATCTAATGCAACCATGGTCACAACACGGGAAGTGTTCGAAGACAGAACAATCAGCAAGGGGCTGTGGCCTTCTAAATTTTCAGATCTCAGTTTTTGAGACTTTTATCTTTGGGGAAACCTAAAGGGAAAACTCTACAAGAATAATCCTCACATCACTGAAGCTCTGCGAAATGAAATAACATGCGTAATTAGTTCAATTACCGTGGACCAACTTCAGAAAGTGTCGCATAATTTATTTATGTGATGCGAGGCATGTTTGCAAGCAGAAGGGGGTCACTCTCAGCACCTGTTTTAGAGCACGGTAAGTTTGTGTTATCTTTTTGCAGTATTCCTATAAATCTGAGCATGTACAGAAACTGATGTGAGCGAATCAGCGACATGACTTCACTCTCGCTAGTGGGGATGGGCACAGTAGTCGCGGAGAAATGATCCATCCACTCTACACTAGCAAGAGTGTGCATGTTTATCAGCGCTAGTGACTCATTCTGCTGTCGGCAGTTACAGCAACAATCTGTGAGGAATGTCATGCCCACTCAGCGCTGTTACCAGGATTTCTCGATGACTGAATGCCCTTTATGTATGGATGTGTGCCTCTCTAGTTCCAGAACAGTTAGATTTTATTCATGTTTCGTATTCTAGACTTTATCCAGTCTAGGGTGGTGCCCTGTGAATCTAACATTCCATCCTCTAAAACAGGGGTCCTCTAGATGAGCACCAAAACACAAAATGGCTTCAATGATTTTGATTACATTTCAGAAATTTATGAAGGCTATCTTTCTAAATAAAATTCCATAGGTGGTAAATTCAGGAACATAACAGTATACACACTGGGGGGTCCATATATGAAATGCCAGTTTTCTCAAAACTGGGTTTACTGGTCTAAGGGATTTCAGTGTTGTTCAGTATTCAGCAACCAACAGTGGTCTACTGAGCAACAGTCAATTTTGTTTCCAATGTAACACACTTGAGATCAACCACACAAGGAAGTACCTGCAGTATCTTGGCACTGAATGTTTCAATACTAATACTGTTCTCCCCCCCCCCCCAAGTTAAAATATGGCCACCACCACCATAGTACTGGGAGATATACAATCTCCTACTCTCAAGCAATAAACTGTTGTCCCAAGTTCAAATCTGAACACCAACCCCATGGATCCAGGAGATTTAAAAGTCCAAATTCTCACACAAGGACAGTTAGATAATACTGTTATGAATTAACCCACTGCCAGTTCAAGATAAATAAATACAAATTACAAATTCCTAACTGGATAACAAGGAATCACTGCAGGAATACTGAATGATAATATGACACTTATAAAATTATAATGTACAAGAAAACGTTCCCATTTCATGGGGAAAATTATGTACATGTATATTCCCTTACATTCCGAAGCAGAAGTATCCAAATGCAAGTCCCAGGACCAGACCAAAAGCATGACGAGTGGCTGGGCTGGTGGTGGAGGGGTGCAAAGTATTCCTGAAGACAGGTGCACATGCCAAAGCCAGCACTTGACTTATAACAAAGTTTACCTGTTAAAAAAAACACATTACTGTAAATATGCTGCTACAGTAAAAATTTCTGTTAACTATCTCACAACAATTATTATGCTGAGAACAAGGGGTAAAAATATTTGGTCACCTGACCACCAGTGTGACCAAAAAATTTTGACTGCTGACCAGTTTCCCACTTCGTGTTCGGGAGTTGACACGCAGTGCAGAGAAAATGAACTACATCCAAAGATCTTAAGATCTATGTAATTGGTAATTCATAACAATTAATCTTTTAATTTAGTCTTTCTGCCATTATCACTTGCCTGGCCTGTGTCTGTTTAGAGCACACAGTACAATAACATGAAACAAATTCTGCATGCCAAGCAGAGGCGACAGCCATGGCAAGATGCCAGAAAATACTGATCCACCTCTCTCTGGAGACCAACCACATCATCCATTACAAATAGAACAATACCACGATTATGATGAACAGTACATACTGAGGTGGGCAGGTCATGTGGCACGAATGGGGGAGATGAGGAATGCGTATAGGATATTGGTGGGAAAGCCAGAAGGAAAGAGACCACAGGGAAGACACAAGGCGTAAGTGGGTGGACAATATTAGAATGGATCTTAGAGAGAGGATAGGATGGTATGGATTGGATAGATCTGGCTCAGGATAGGGACCAGTGGAGGGTTCTTGTGAACACGGTGATGAACCTTCGGGTTCCATAAAATGCTGGGAAATTCTTGAGTAGCTGCAGAATTGGCAGCTCCTCCAGAAGGGCTCAGCTCCATGAGTAAGCAAGTATATACTGAAGCATATTCAATACTCCCACTTCAGATGGTTCACTATCAATACACTGATATACATATAAACACAGGATTAAACTCTAGTACTTTCATCCACTCCCCCATACACCTTCAAGGTGTTAGTGCTTAATTTGCTGAGCACATGGACAACTTTATGTTACCTTACTTTCATTTCCTACAATCAGCAATACCAACATGACCACCGCACAAATTTGTAAAGTCCGTGAAACATTAAGTTTCACATAATATAGAATCGTGAAACAATGTATAGTAATTAGTTATAAAAATATTCAACTACTGTTCTTGAATTCTTTGTAGAATGTAAAACAATATGATCATATAAAAATGTTTATGTAGCTTTAAGTTCTACAGTTTCACTAATAGGTCATTTGGAATGAAAATCTGTATGATAGCATATTCAACAGTTCTAAAACGTCGGTAGTGTGAAGCTTTGAGGTCACGTCTGAATAATTTCAGGTAGGCAGAATGAATACTTCAGTACCAAGTACTTTCCAAAATAGAAATAAAAATAATCTACACTTACACTGAAAAAAAAATAGAATGCGTGATATAGTATGGTTCGCTTGCGGACTGAAATCACGGGGTTTTTGTTGACACTAGCCAACCGCACGATTCCGTGAGCAATGCAAATTGTTAAAAAATTTCTCACGTAATTTAGTGAAAAAGATTTATAGGCCAGTCTGGGCAAGAAGGCAGTAGATTTTTATGGGTTCTGCCAAGAAATGCTTATATTGCCGGAGGCTTAGCCAGATTCTTTAACGTAGTATCAGAGCTGAATTCCGCGTTTATTTTTTTATTTTGTTTGACAGCTTACGGAAATCATTTAACTGCACGGATTACCACGCACCAGTGCGTGACTGCGGACTAAACAGCAGGATGATTTTCAAAGGCCTAGATGAATTAAATATTTGCTCTACACTGACACAAACACTTCATATAACCGTAACTCGGTTTCTGAAGCGTAACCAGTTTGTGGAAGTGTTAACAAAACCCCATGCATTGAAGTCAATGTATCCACCGAAACGTAAAAATTATGCACGTTCATGAACTAAAAAAATGTTTAAAATATGTTATTATACACCTTTCATATGTGCTACTTACTTGGTCCAGAGGAAGACCAGATAAATCAGAAACCCAGGTGAAAATACGGCTACCCTCATAATACTCGTCAAAAGCAGCAGCCATGTCGCGAGCGGCTGTCCGTTTCGTTCGGAAATTACTCGGTTGAAGCGCACTGATCGTATGATGGTATGATTGCCTGAGTTCCTTGAGGCGCTTGAGGCAGGCGTGATTTGACACGAAGCCGACATTGGCCGAGATGTAGGTAGGGATGTACGTCAAGATAGCAATTGACATCCTTCAAGCAATCATCTGATTAGGATTACACAACTTTTTAAAGTGTTCGGTCCCATTTTTTGTTCACTGCAATAGAAGATTTGCGTAATGGCAGGATTCGTAATTTGTACTCTCCACCAGATATTAACAGGGTGATTTAATTAAGGAGAATGAAATAGGCGGACAATGTAATGTGCCTTGGGCAATATGAGAAATGCATACAGTTTTAGGCCAAAAAAATCAAGGAGGAGACTATGCTTAGATGGTAGGTATCGCAGTTTCCGTACCCATCACTTGTAACGAATGAAGTAACAGAATAATATTATGTAGAATACAAGCACAAGCAAACAACCAGACATGAGACTGTTTGTGGGTATCTCAAGAAAAGGCAGACCATTATAGCTGCTAAATAATATCTAAAAGTTTGTGACGATGGTACATTAGTACAAATATTATGTTTCTGGACATTATCCATCGTCCTGTTTTTATCTAAAACGCCGTCCTATTTATATTTCAAAACAACGTGTCGGAGACCGGATTCACTCTTCGTCTTCAGGCAGAACTTACTCAGTTGGACCCAATAGATCGAGCTAGTCTTTATCTCCGGAGATAGGTTTTAACCTGAAGACGGAGACAGAATTAAATCTCCGAAACGATGTGTTTTGAAAAATAAACAGGACGGTGTTTTAGATAAAAACAGGAGCATGGATAATGTCTAGAGACATAATATTTGTAGTAAGGCTGGTATTTTGCGTTTTTTGTTTGCTCACTGCCAGCCTTTTTCTAACATTTGCCACCACCAGGTAGTGGTCAGTATCACAATAAGCTGCCCTGAATGATACAGGAGACCAACAGACGAACTGTTCGGTGTGATGACTTATACGTGTTATGTTCTCCCGAACTCATAAAAGATAGTTCATTCGTGAATTCAATTCATTCATTAGTAGTAGAATTCAGAAGGCACTTCAATAATTGAATATTCAGCTGTGAAGTATTAACCAGGTGAGATTTGTTACCGAGCAACGATTAGAAAGCAGACATTGAAGACTATTTTATGTGTTATAGTTACAGTATTCTTTAGAGTATTACAAATCAGCAGATAAGTTTTTATGTGTTTCATGAATTCAGAGAACCCATTGATTACTTTTCGCATTAGCAGGATACTTATGGCTCCATTCCAGCGGGCATCTTATCAGTGCGTGACGTCATACGCTGCCAGATTGCCTATAATTTTGCGTCATTCACTAAACAGTGGAATTGAATTAGCCTTATAGCTCGCATTCATTAACGCATTTCACTCGCAATATGACCAGATTCTTCTATATGCTTCGCTGTGCACATTTCCACGGTAACGAGGTCAACAATAGAACTTCTGTTACACAGCAGCGAAGGTACCAGTAATTACAGACTGTTACATATTCTGTTACTTACGGAAAATTGTTACATTTTCTGTTTCTAACGGTTTCATTCAGTTTGGGCCCTCGTATAACAACGTTTTCACCGTTGAAAGTTTCTTTTCGCCTTCCCACACCTTACAAAATGAAGTGATTGCACTCGAGATGAATACGAGGTTTCCACCGCAGTTCTGTTCCCACGGTAAGCTCTAAGTTCCTCCGTCATTATCTGCAACATCATCGAGGGAAAAGAGGAAATCCCACTTAAAAGTGAGAGTTCCTACTTTTACAGCAAAGCCATGACAAGCAGATTATGATACCAACGTGATAAACAAGTAAAACAACCTTTACCGAAAGATCGAATTATGTATTTATTTATGTACGTGTATATACTGCCTATTTAACAACGCAATCAGTACCTAATACGCTTAGTAACGTCGAATGGTAGCCTACGATGCAAACAAAAAACAAAACAAATTCCGTGGTTTTAGTCCGCAAGCGAACTATACAGACCGAGCGACCGCCACTTGTCAGCGAAGTTAGTACCAACTTTAGCGGGCAGAGGGTGTCGCGTGGTCAGCGCAACGGATTCCCACGGCCGTTAATCTCGGTTTTCTAGGCCGGAGCCGCTATTTCCTTGAAATACATCCGCCGTTTTCCTCACGAGGCTGAGTGGACCACGTTCGAGGCCCAGTACTACTCAGAAAATTTGGTAGCGCCGGGAACTCTGGATCTGTAGCCAGGAACTGTGACAACTAGGCCACAGAGGCGGACCGAATAGTGAATAACGAAGTTCGAGGTTCTCATGTCGGTGACTGAAGTTTGGGTCTACCGTCTTCTGGGATATGATGCTGTGAAGCCTTAAAAAAGTTTACATATTCAGCGGAGGAATGTGTTAACTTCATTAGCACAGTAAAAGAGTAACTTTCTCTTCTACTGTGAAGACAGAGGCACCAGGGAGAACTTCAGCTAGACTGTGTGCATCACGTGTAAGAAGAGCAATTGTCAGAAAACAGTGAGTTAGAAAGGATGTGGAAGAAAGCGACAGTTGCCTAATTTAAAGTACTATCCCAGTATTTTCCTGGAAAGACTGAAGAAAACTAGATACTACACACTCGGTCATAGTAGTCGGTGTCTTGTTTGAGATTCCAACCGCCACCTCCGGAATACAAATCGGAAGCTTTGCCGCTTAAGCTAACTTGACCGGCTTGAAAATATATTGAAAATGATCATGGTTCAATAAATTCATTCCGACATAAAAATTACGGCACGTGAATGGAAATATGATATAACTTACGAGCCACGAATCGAATAGACCTACAGAAGGTTTGCTGCAGCGCAGAAGTTCATATTAATTCAGAGAGATACTACATATAGAATTCACACTAGTAACATTACACATCAAATTAAATTAAGAGAAAGCAATACATTATATTCGTTTCGCCACAAAATTTGTATGGAAAATATATGAATACGAAGGACAATGATGTACGGAAAACTGCAAAGAACGCTCTTGGAAAGTAGGACCTATGTGCATCCCAGCATTGTTATAATCGTACTATTCCAGCTAATGGAAAATGCAGAAAGAAACTCCTCATACGCTGTATTACTTTTTTATTAACGTCTGTCACGTTTGTTTGAGTAGAATAATCCTTGTTCTCGATGATTTTAGAGATAAGTAAAATAATTATCTTGCAAGATTTACAAACAAGGTTCAACATCGCTTGTATACCAAACAAAGTCCGCTGTTGCGTAAGATCCTGAGCCGCTTAAATGCCAATTCATTCCCACATACTCCAGTTCTTTAAACACTTGTCATCATCATCATCACCACCACCACCACTACCTCCAAAATTTCAACCGAACATTGTGTTCGAGTGGTGAGCACTCCTGCTTTATATTCGGCAGACCCCAAGTTCAAATCTCTGTCCGGAAACCGGCCAGCCTGTCGTCTTCGTGGTTTAATTTAGTACATCCAGACACATGCCTTGACAGTACCTGAAATTAGGTCACGATCACTCCCTTCTGCGTATTTTCCAATTCATTATTGACTAATCAGCCTACGATTCGCAGCTATATACGAGTACAGTCTAGGCTGCAATACTGAGTGAGTCGCAAAATAAATCATAAATAAATACAACCTCCATGATTTATTTCAACCGTCTTCCAGTGCCTACACTCATCTATCTCACTCCTCTCTCTCGCACTACATGTTTCGGCACAAAAGTGCCATCTTCAGGTGCTTATTCGATTTACGTTAAACTAGTTCACTGCATGCCTTGCCGTCTTCATATTGAAATAACTAAAATATATATTTATCATATATATTGATAAATATATATTTTA